CTATGTAACTAAAATTTATTACAAAATCTGGAGCTGCTTCTTTTTTTTACTGTTTCTTTTTTTACTGTTAATGTTTATTGCGTTTAAGTGGCTGAGCCGTCACTGTATTAGACGCATGGGTTTATACAGAGGAATTTGCATTCAAAATTTTGTCGGTACATTACAAGTACAGGCTTATATGTATGTATGTATTGTGTAGAGTAATTTTTGGTTTTTCTGTACATGCGTAAGTATATTTCTTCACACAGTAGGCTTTGACAATTATGTGCAATCATCAGTAGCGTTGCTCAAATTTTTGGCATACAGCAATTACTTTAATCATTTAGTTTGTGTAATTGTAAAATTTATTATTATTTCTTTGAATTGTATAACACCTACGAGGGTGCATTGTGCAAGTTGCCAAAACAACGAATGCAATTACTTGGTAAACGCAAATGATTTGCAATAAAAAATTATTAGATTGTAGTTTTATTTTTCGTTTGGCATATTTGCTAGCAAATATCTGAATTTGATATGACGTCCGATCTCGTCTTTTGATATTCATCTGGTATTAGTTGAGACTTCATGCGGCCCATGTGTCTCAGAAATGCTTATAAGGCAAGAAAACTTAAGTAAGCCCACCCGAGTATGCCCACTTCTCTACTCTAAATTCGCCAAACTAACGAGGACGCAGAAACTTAGAGTTGGCGAATAATTTTATTTGTTGATTAATTTCGATACCACTATTGGTATACAATCGATAGTATTATCGATTATTACGTCGGATTCGTTGTCGATAGACATCAATTTTTTCCGCCTTCGTTCGGCAGTTTTACTTCACCGAAAGATATTTTTCTGTAAATAGCGAAAACTGTTATGGTTTTAAAATTTGTTGAAAATTACGGCTGCAATCGTCGTGACAAATTTTTGTTGTTGCAGGCTCTTCAATATGAGTTGTATTTGGTTTACTAGCGGTGTACTATTTTGCCATTTTTATGCTTCGTATTTTGGTTTTGGAACACGAAAACGAATACGAATACGGATGCGAAGGCGAATATGACAAAGAATATTAATACGAGGACGAATATGAAAGTAAAGACGATGGCGAAGAATATACGAAGACCAAAACTATGTAGTACGAAGACGAAAATAAAATATACGAACATGAATAAGCAGATAAAAGGGGAGACAAATACAAAGGTGTATATGAACGCAAATACGAACACGCAAGCGAATATGACTATGATTATGAATACGAATACTAAGAAATAGGAAAACGAATTCGTAAAACGAAGACAAATGTGGTGGCGTAAATCAAGGTAGAAGACGAACGGGAAGAGGAATACGAAGAAGAGGACAAATACGAATTTTGATGTAAACACGAAGACGATGACGAAGGTAAATAAGAAGTCGAATATGCATACGATCCGAAGACGTATATGAAGACAGCTACTAAAATGAAGACGAAAAAATTTGCAGGACCCTTAAAAGCTATAAAAGCGGCAGAAAAAAGGATTACAATTAATGCCGAAAACTGTAATCCTTGTTTATATAATTGTAGCGTTGAAATATTTATCTATAACGACTTTTATCAAAATCAATGAGTTTGTCGATATTTTTAACCAAAAGAAATATCATTCCGAATTGTTATCATTAATGTTAACTTTGGAGGTGAAACAATTTTCTCATTGAGGGTCATGATTTAGTGTTATTGTTTTCAAAACTAATGTAATTCAGTATTGGTATCAATTAAGATCTTTATCGATATTTTTATGGAAAGTTGCTATTTTCTCAATGTTTATATAAATATGTATTTAGTCATCTAAATTTTTACATCAACATCATTCAACGCTACATTTTTTTCTTTCCAGCTCACTCGTTTTGTATTCGTCTATGCATTTTCATATCAACTTGTGTTCGTACTTGTATTTGTATTCACTAAAATACTACAAACGGAAAAGCTTTTTATACACTTTGAATAAATGCCCACAAAGTAGAAGCTCTGCACAATTTCATGGGTTAAAAACATACATTTAATTATTTGATGTTATTTTATTTAAATAACGATAGCAGCAAATTTTTAAGGCCCAAAAAATAATTATTTTGCAGCTTCACAGCCAAATTGTTTAGCAAATTAATTTTTCCCAAAAGTGGATTCGAAATAGTCATCGTGTTACGCTCGTCGTTTTTTATTTTAATACTCGCTACTTGCTCACTTGGCGTGGCGCTAACTAAAATAATTTTTACGAATGCGTTGCGCTTGACTTCCTAAGCGGCTACATGCTTCAACTTTTTGCCAGTATGTGGCTAAATGCAAACATATGTACATAAGTATACACATACAAGTACAATACATATTACGTATACGCCAGCGTGAGTGACCGTTTCACGCAATTATATACTTGCATGTACATATTTATGTTCACTTACCAGCTGACTACTTGGACGTCATTGGCGTAACTTTGCTAAAATATTCGACCGTATCGCGCTTTTTTTCTTCTTCTGCACACGCCATGCCACATGCGATTCATAAAAGGAATTACAAAGATAGCTGAGTTATTATTTAATAGTTATCTAGTCGTATTTGCTAATTGGAAATGTGCTGCAGCTATATATAGCTACCGTAAATATTTAGAAAATAAATCCAAATGTGTGAAGCTTCCCCGAATAGACAATTAACAGTAGCTTAATATATGTATGTATCTCTTGTTTAATTCTTTTAGGACATGCAGTGACACGCTTTGGCATTGACCTTAGTTTTTCGATCTATTTGCAGAAACACTTTCTATTGGCTTTAATATTTTCATACCAACAAAAGACTTAAGTAGCGAACCTTAAGTTGGGCTCTACAGCTAATAAGTTATTTTATATATTTTTGCATAGGTAGCTTAGATTAGATTAGATGTCGTTTTTTATGTATGTACAAAATACATAAATATATAAATTTATTGCATTACAGGATGTGCTTTAGTTCACTGACCGGAATATGTTTGTAAAGTTATTAATTAAATGCAAAGTCAAAATAACAAATTTGTTTATATTAGGCCCTTTCAGTTCACAGAGTTTTTTTGCGATTAGTTCTATATATCAAATCCGTTGTGCTTATCCTAGTAAAATGGAGTTATCTCAGAAAATTTCAAGACGATATCTAAGGTGGCTAAGCGCAACCAACGTGTATACCAAATTTGGTCGAGATCGGTGAATTAGTTTTTGAGATACACATACATATATGATATACTTAGTGGGCAGTCTCACGCCCGTTTTTCTAAGTTCTATGAAAAATTAAATTTTCGCTAAAGAGCCATTGCTTGTTGCAATTATGAGTAAATATTGATGAATTTCTTAGCTACACTGCTCAAAAAACCGGAAAGTCTGTTACATGCACGCTTCAATGCAAGACCGTATTTCTACTTAAATTCTACTTAACTTCGATGATTTTTCTCCAATTTCATTGAATAAAGTATCTATTCGTTTGAAAATAGAGGCAATTTTTGACAAATACTACACTTTTGGGAACCTTTATGGAAATTTTTTAAATTAGCGGTCGTCAAATTTGAAAAAATTAAGAAAAATAGCAGTTTTTTCATTTTAGCCGATGAAAACTGTTTATGTTGTACATCATTTTAAAAGTTTGTTTTTCAAAATATGTCTAATTTTTATAATCGGATGAAAAATTGTCACACTGCGAATAGAAAATGCATCAAGTATGGAACGTTTTTTTTTTAATAAAAAGAATTTCGGGTTCAAGAACTATAAAAAACCTATTTTCATGCTGTACTCTCCTATCTACAATTCGCACTGAGTTTTGTCTCTAGTATATTTTGTGAGTTTTTTTTTAAGCACCGTGTCATTGGTAATTTTTGGTATTTACTTTTCGTGCATTGAAAATATGGTGAAATACTTCGTGCTATTTCAAAACATGTTTCCAAATTTTCGTTGTAGTTTTTGAAATCTGTCGGAATTCTTATTTTTTTAACGTTCGGTATTTTTCAGGACATTTTTTTTCAAACATTTTCGGAATCTTTCGGTTCACAGGCTTTTTTGGTATTTTTCCAAGATTATTTCGAAATTTTTGGACATCTTAAACAACTTAATCCAAATCTAACTCTCTGTACGATTTTTTGAAGTCCATCCATAGCAGAAGCTTTCCGGATCGTGCATGGCAAGCAAATAATATCTTAACTGCAGAGCGCGGTGGCTCTGTGAGCAGACCCTGCTTACCTTATAGTATCGGGACCCTCACGATCCTATAACATAAGAAAGAAAAACATCTTACATGTGGGGCAAGAATACAAATCAAACACAAAAAATCACACATTATTAGTATACCACATAAATAATAATACTAATATATGCACATCCTAAAAGAAATATGCAAATAATGTTTAATAGTTTGCAAATGGGAAATCGGTTCGGCAGCGAAAATGACTTCCTGCATTTTGCCTTCACAATATTTTTATAATTAAGCAAAAACTGGACAAAGTGAAAAGTCAAACTAACTTAAATACATTTTAATACAACATTAATAAAAATGATAATTTCAATATTTTATTTTAAATATCATTTCATTTAAGCGCCCATTAACCCAATGGCGTTCAGCTATCACTTCCCGGTAAGAGTTATTTACATACAACAGCAATTTCCTCCCAAGCTTTACTTACTTACTTTCATTTCTGCAATTCAAAACACAAATTACTTTCGAAG